TTAAAAACCAAAATAAAAAACCTAAAATCACAATTCTATTAGATTAAGCCTAAATATATAAGTTATCGTTTTGCGTTGTGCATCACACTAAAAAATTTATTAGATAAGGTGACATAATTCTTAATATCAAAGAGATTCAATTAAATTTTGCTGATTAAAGTGCTCAATACTTGTTGTCGATATCAAATGTGAGGATTGTGAAGTTATTTTTCAAAATTAAAATATAGGAATGATAATAAAATTTTTTAAATATATATTTTTTAATTTTAAATTACACAATAAAAAAAACTATCTCCTATTGGCTGGGCGTTTGTACCCGAAACTGTAAAAAAGACCGTGCCCACGTGCAACCGCAACCGCAACCGCAACCGCAACCGGCTGGTTGGGATTTTTTGGCATTCGGTTGGGCTGGACCCCAATTGCGGTTGCAGCTGACAGCCCAATCTGGAGGTTGTCGGTTCCTAAGCCCAAGAACCGACAACCTTATGAGTTGGCCCAAAACCGAAAAGCCCAACCTTTTTTATTTTTTGTATTTTTATTCTGAATATTTTTATTTAATTTTTTAATCTTTCACGTTTTTTCACGTAAAATTTCCGATTTTCCGCCTACAACATTTGACTAGTTAATTTCGCACTTCAAATTTTGAATTCCATCATTAATTTGAATCGTCATCCTACTTTAATATATATATATATATTTTTTATTATCATCATTTCCCCTCCGTTGGACCGAATCATCTAAATGATTAAATCTAATCTAATTATTTATTATCTAATTTATGTAATATAATGTGTAATAAATATATTTTTTATAATTAATTTATATAAAAATTAATATTTATTTTAATATTATTAATATATAAATTATTTTAATTAATTAAATAAATTAAAATTAAAATTTATATTTTAATATAAATTAATTATAAAATAATACTTTAATTACACCAACCAACAAGGACCACCTTTATTTATTGGTTAACCTTTTTTTCTTTTCTCATTTCATATCACCACTCACTAGTCAGGCAATCACCACTCACTAGTCAGGCAATCACCACTCACCACCCTCACCACCGATGATACTGCAATAATTTTCTCCAGTTCTCCTCCTTCTTCCTCTACACTTAAACCCATTAACATGTAAATTTTATCTATTTGACTTAAGGTTTATGTTTCTTTTCCTTATTTGGAATCCAAAACTTCTTTTCCTTATTAGAAAACTGGTAAAATTAGAATTTAGCTACTTGTGATTAAGGTTGATGCACAGAAAAACTCAAGATTTTAAAATATAACATGTGATTTAAGGTGAGTGCACACAAAAACCTAAAATTTCAAGATATACAAATAAGAACTTAAATTTTGTATTTGGTGTACATAACCACTTGAAGTTACATGAAATTATTTTAAATACTCTTATTTTTCTTTTCTTTTTTTTTCCTTTTCTTTTCTTTTCTCTTCTTTTCATTCTTTTAAGTTAGGGGTTTTTAAGAAATTTTAAGTGATTATTTGCACAAAATGCAAACCTTAGGTCTTTATGTGCACATTTTGATATCTTGGGTATTTATTTGTACATATCTAAAACCACAAGTATGTTATATGCACATTTAAAAACCTCAAATCTTTATGTGCACCTACCTCAAACTACAAGTAGTTAAATCATAATTTCCCCTATTTTTAAATAATAAGGGCTCATGTGTACAAAATTTTTTTTCTTTTTTACCTTGATTTGCAAGCCAAGAGGTAATCATTTTTTATCTTTTTAATTTATTTAATTGACATATCATAAATTTAAACTCAAAATTTTTTATTTTTATTAGAAAGAGATTACCACCAATATTAATTTAAAAGCAATTTCCCTATTTGCAAAACTATTACTCAACTAAAATGAGAT